CACACACACACACACACACACACACACACACACACACACACACACACTATGGCCAGGCTGTGTACAGCAGACGAAACTGTTCAGGGGAGCCCTCAAGAGCTCAGAGCCCAGCGGGCAAGTGGGCAGTTGTGTGACAGGCAAGGCCGGGGTGCTGGCTCAGGCCTTCTAAGGGCAGTGAGGAGTGTGGCCTAGGTGGAGGTCCCCAGGAGTGGATGTGGCAGGTGTGCCTGACCTTGAGGGCTTCAAGGTGTCCTTGGGGGCCTGCTGCCTAGCGATTTCCCTGAGTGGATAGAGCCTAGGGTCCTCACCCCTGGGAGGGAAGGTAACTTCCAGGCTAAACCAAAGCCTTCAGTTTCTCTTCAGCAGAATGATCAGGAGGGCCCGTTAATTTCACAGCAGACCAGTCTGGCTGGATAGGGGCAGCAGGGTGCCTGTGGAGTCCTGAGTTGCCACCTGAGACAGCTACCACAAATCTCCCATGACCTACACACATACCCCAAAGTCCAGGATCAGAACTGTCCCTTGACCTATCCAAACCCTGGCAAGATATCCTCTGGCTGAAGGCCTGGGACCCTAGACTGGAAAAGGCTTTGACTTGGTCAGGACCCAAGGGCACCTGAGCAATGATGGATTAGGTTCTGGGCTGAGCTGGGCCTGGCTAGGATGGAAGCCTGGGCTGGGTCCCTCTCTGCCCCTGGCCCTCCTAGCCTCCATCCCCTCCAAGCCCGGAGATGCATGATGAGGCTCACTTTACCCTCCCCCAACAGGTGACCTGTTGGGCAAGAGGCTAGGCCGCTCCCCCCACATCAGCAGTGACTGCCCATTGGAGAAAAAGGCACGAAGCAAGTCACCCCAAGGTGGGAGCTCAACTTGGAGGTGGAGGGACAAGCCACAGAGGAGGGAGGGGGATCACTCCGACCCCATGCAGGGCAGAACCAGCCCAGCAGCAGGTTCTAAGAGGGGAGAGGTCCTGCCTCTCCTGTGGCAGCATCTGAAGGAGAATCCCCTCACTTTATGCTCACCCCAACACAGAGACTCTGTTGCTGCCAGAACTAGGGCCCAGCATGGCCCCTGAGGATCACTACCGCCGGCTTGTGTCTGCCCTGAGTGAGGCCAGCACCTTTGAGGACCCCCAGCGTCTCTACCACCTGGGCCTCCCCAGCCACGGTATGTGCCCCCACCCTATGGCACCATCCCTTACCAAGTGTCTACCCGTGTGTGCTGGGCTCTTGCTGTCCCTGGAGACCTCTGCCCACCCTGGAAAGAGGCTCTGGATCTTTGGCCAAGACTGGGTTTGGATGCGGATCTGTAGCCCCTTGTAGGGGGCACTGAGGGGTGACTCGCCTTCCCCCTCTGCCCAGGCACCCACTTGTTTGGGTAGATCCGGGGGATCCCCCACAGGCATATCCCGACAGTCCACCCCCGCCATCTCCCACAGACTCTCCAGCAGGGCCACCCCTCACTTGTGACCTGCAATCACTGTCATTTCACAGATGAGGAAACAGTCTGGGGTGAGCCCCAGTGAGAGTGGAAGGTGGGGACTGAGCCAGGCCCACCCACCCCTCTCCAGTACACGCAGCGTCTCATTGTCCGCTGATCTGTAGTCCTGTACGCTGCCATCAGGGTGGTGTGTGGGACTGTGCCGACACCTCACCTGGAGTCAGCTCTACGTTGGAGGGCGAAGAGGAGGGGAGCAGTCGGGCCAGAACATCCAGAAGGGAGGGTGGGTAGCAGTTAGGATGTGGCCGCCAGGACCTACCTCAGGGGTGCTCAGAAGCCCCCGCTGGAGGCACAGTCCCTGCCCCACCCAGCTCCCCACCCTGTGCTCTGTCCATCTGTCCTTCCTGCCTCTCATGGACACACCTCACCGACCCACCATCTGGCACCCTGACCAGCTGCACCCTAGCCTGGCAGACCCCAGCATGCGGTGCTGCCCCTAGCTTGGCTTTTCAGGCTGGAGGTGCGTGAGGAGTGCTGGGAAAGGGGGCAGGATTTCTTCTCCTTACACAAGGCACTGTCCCCCAGGGCAGTCAGGCACCGAGAGCCTGAATAATTCACCAAATGTTAATAATTTAAAAATCTTCCTTTTTAATTGCTTTCCCTGCCCTGCCTGGGGCCTGCTCCGCTGGCCTGCGCCAGGGAGGGGGCGCCGGCCACCGGGGAGCAGCGCCGGGAGCCGGGCTGTCAATCATGGCCCTGCGCCGCCGCCCCCGCCACGGAGCCGACTGTAAATAACCGAGGCCGCCGGGCGGGCGCGGGGGCGAGGGGCCCCGCTGGGATCGATGCAGGCGGCCGCGCCGGCTGGGCTCTGCGGGCTGGCACCCGGCCCGGGCAGGGCCCACCTCCGCTTTTCGGGTAATTAATTTATAAACAGGAGGCGGTGGCGGCGGAGCCTACACAAATGGGGGGCTGCGGGGGTGGGGGACCCAGAGGCCCAGCCCCAGGCAGGATGGGGACTCGGATGGGGAGCAGAGTACTAGGCGCCTTGAGCGTGCACTGCGTGTTCCCTAGAAGGGGGTCACCTGGGCATTGTCAGTACAGGGTTGGAAACCCATTCCCACTCCTCCAGGAGCAGGCCTGCGCCCTCACTCTTGGGCCTTTGCATAACCCCATCTGCAGCCCTGCTCTCCACAACCTCTGAACTTCTTTCAACATCAACATTCGCACCACAGAATCCCCTGCCTTCAGAGCCTTTCCCTCCCTCCCCACTGCGTTTGAGTTACTGAAATCCCCATACCCTTTCAAATGCTTACCGGCCCCTCTCCCAATACAGGTGGGTGCCTCCCAACCCCCATTCCTAACACCATATAAAGCTAGCTGCGCTGTAATGATTTGAGTCTCCCCTGTCCTGTGGCCTTCTGTTCATATTTCTGTCCCCATGACCAACCAGCAAGGTCACTGTAAGGATGTGCTCTCATTGGCTTCTGGTCTCCTTGGTGTCCTTCACTCAGCAGGGTTGGGGTAGTGAGAGACCTGGCGTAGCCTGGCCTCTGGTCACTACTGACCAACACCCCCCCAACTCCCAGATCTCCTGAGGGTTCGGCAGGAGGTGGCGGCAGCAGCTGTGAGGAGCCCCAGTGGCCTGGAAGTCCACCTGCCTTCATCCACGGCAGGTCAGCGTCGAAAGCAGGGCCTGGCTCAGCACCGAGAGGGCACCATGCCAGCTGGCACCCCATCCTTCTCAGAGAGGTACTGGGGTGCCCACATCAGAGAGGCCCCCATCTTGTCTATGCTCATTTCTTGGATACAAAGCTGGGGTGGGCCTATCAGAAACCTAGTACCTGGTTTCTGCAGGTCCCGTCCACAGCCTGCATCTCCTTACCTTGCCACCTGCCTTCAGTGTGCACACTCTTTGCCCCCTTCGCAGCCACACGCTGCCGTGTCGGTACAGAGTGTGCCAGGCATTGTGCTGGCCCTAGGTTCATGGTCTGCAGAAAGGTCCTGACACCCGCTGAGCTGGTCAGAGGCCCAGAACACTCCTGGAGTAGAATGTGTGGGGGTGACCATCCCTCTGGGCAGGGTGTTAAGGGTGACTGCCGTTTCTGTTGAGCGACTGTGGGACTCGCTGAATCCAGGTGCCCCAGAGAGAGCTGAGGGCTTTGCTCCCCCAACAGGTAGGTGAGGGGCTGGAGGCAGATTGGGGGAGTCTGTGGCGAGGGGGGGTGTGGAGGGGGGCAGAAGGCAGAAGAGGGGAGCAGTGCGAG